GAAATATGATCTTTGCCAAGATCCTCAGGTTTCAAACACTCAATTTTTTTTATCACTATTAATCTTAGGTAGACGTTGTATACACCTGACAGTTTAGATATTTCTGAAGGGGTTTGATGTCATGCGTGACATCCACATGAAGGCTATTTAAGAATATGGCCCGAGTTTTCAGGTTGATGTTTTGGTTTCGTAGCAGTTTGCGTTGTTGGGTGAAAGTACCTCTGGCGAAGCCTATTCTATGTTCAATTTCCTTTTCTCCTATACATAATTTGTAATAACTGATCTAAACGAGATATCTGAAGTGTTTTATTTACTAATTCCTCATCCTATTTTTTTTTATGTTGAATTGAGGGTAGGTATGTACACTGCTTTCATTCCAATAGAAAATCCATAATTATAGTAACAAAAAAAAATAAAATAAAAATAAAATAAAATAATCGAAATATAGAGGTTCTTTTTGTTGTCTGAGAGAGTTAGTGTACTTTCTTCGACACTTTCTATATTCCTCCCCATTTTTTCACGGTTACTTAATCAGCTGCGTTTTCCTTAATTTCCCTAGCTATTGATTTTGTGTCTGTATCATCGCGAAAGATGGACTTATTAAAATCACAGGCAATTCGACATTATTTAGCCAAAGGAAGGGCTTAGGTGATGAGTTGCTCTCTGCACACATCCCCGACCCCAACATAGATTTAACTGATATAAAACTGAAAGGCTTTCATTAATCAAGATTCTGTTTTTCGGATTTTCGTTTTTAATCCGCCATTTTTGTGGGATAGGAAATCACACATGTTCCTTTGTCAATCTCGCTCTTTCTATTTTCATTTTTTATTTAATGTAATGGAAGTAATGGTTAAGAAGCATTGTTTCGTTGATTTATTATTTCTGAGTAGTAACAAAGGAATATAATAAAACCATTTCTTATAGAATTTGGTAGTAAAAGTATCATATTGGTTAATTATCATAGTAAAATCATTGGCAATAGATTTTTACAGTAAAATCATTTGAAATGCAATTTCATATTAAAATCATTTGCAATGAATTTTTATATTAAAATCATTTGCAATACATTTTCTAGTAAAACTAGTTTCATAAAATCATTTCCAATATATTTAGAAGGTAAAATCATTTGCAATTCATTTCATAGTAAAATAATTTGCAATACATTTTCATAGTAATATCATTTCCAATGTATTTTTATAGTAAAATTTGCAATGGATTTTCATATTGTTAATGCATTTTCATAATAAAATCATTTGCAATTCATTTTCATAGTAAAGTCCTTTCCAATTAATTTTCATAAAATCATTTGCAATGCATTTTTATAGTAAAATCATTGGCAATGCATTTTCAGAATAACATCATTTCAAATGCATTTTCAGAGTAAAATCATTGACAATGCATTTTCATAGTAAAATCATTAGCAATGCATTTTCATAGTAAAATCTTTTCAAATGTATTTTTATAGTAAAATCTTTGGCAATGCATTTTCATAATAAAATCATTTGCTATACATTTTCATAATATAATCATTTGCAATGCATTTTCATAATAAAGTAATTTCCAAAGAATTTTCATAGCAAAATCACCTGCAATGCATTTTCATAGGAAAATCGTTTCCAATGGATTTTCATAGTAAAATCATTTCCAATATATTTTCATAGTGAAATATCATGGTTCATTTCCCACTGCCTCACCGTGGATCAGCGAGTTTAGTTAGGCCAACCATTACTACTGAGCTTCGTTTTTCCATTACACCACGCGCACATCCAACTCTAAAGCACTTGGTATTCGAAAGGGTAGACAGAAAGACAGAAATAAATAAATACAGGAAGATAGAAAGAATGAAAAAGAAAAGGGAAAACAGAAGAGGTGATAATGCTCTCATTTTTCTGCTTCAGCGAAAGGGAAAACCTTGCAAATTTCAAATATTTTCATTCTTACCCTCTTACTTCTTTAAATAAGGGTTTCCATTCATATTTATGATTATTTCAAGATTTCGTTAAATTTTAAAGCTTAAATCATTAACAATGTGATAGGGGAATTTCTACGGATATTTTTCTTTCATAGAACTCACCATGAGCTTGTTCAATCGTTAACTTAAGAATTAAGATTCATCAGAAAATTTAAATAGGAAGACCGTGAAATTTTCACGGGTATTTCTCGTAAATTTAATTTTGCAAGAGGGAATTATTAAATCTGTGCGTATCAGATTTGATATAATAATCGGTTAAGCTTGGGTGGCCATGTTTAACAAAAGCAGAACGAGAGACACTTTTCACAAAAAAAAAAAACATATTTCAACCGAGATTTCCATTTCTCGGAAAGATACGGGAATATGAACTGGCTAAGACGTGGCTAATATAATGAAGGCTTTTTTTTTTCCAAATATAAAGCACAATGAAAATCTGGAGACAGTTTATTCGCTTCAGACAGCAGGGTGCGAGTCAGAAGTCACGCACGGATATTGGAAATATATATATATATAGAAAGCTTTTTAAAGTTTTTGGTTTTCTGATTTTGAGAATGTAGATTTTACATTAACTGAAAAATAAATAAATGATAAAAGATTTGAATTAAGTTTTTAAGGAGTAACGAAGAAAACTTGGAATATTTTTCAGTAGCGTCAGTACTGGGTATTCGTTAAATTCTTGAATATTCCTCAAAATGCTATTTCTTTTTTTAACATCTCGTCTACAGTCACTTTCTCACAGATGCGCCGTCGCCTCTCTCTGTCTGTTTTACAAATACTTTCATGGCAATTGCTCCGAGGAGCTGCATTCACTGGTTCCCAGACTTCATGAGTTCAAGCGCCCTACGTGGCTGGCATCCCGCTCTCACCCTTTCACTGTCGAAACTACTAAATGTAGCCGTCTCTTCTACTCTAATAACTTCATGTCTCGCACTTCTCGCCTGTGGAACTCCCTTCCCTATTCCAGTTTCCCCGAGAGCTATAATCTCCAGCTATTCAAGTGTAATGTCAATCGACATCTCCAGTTGCCTTGATCTATCCACTACCCTTCTCCTCATCCTTTCTTCTATCACTCCTATCTGATCTTGCTCTAAACTTTCTGTAATCCCTTGCGTCCTAGTGGCTTCCCGCCTTGCTTGGGGTGAAATGCTTAAAATATATATATATATATATATATATATATATATCACTTCTTATCATCGGTCTTCTTAATTACTGTTCTTTTAATGTTTTTTCTTCCTAATAATAGTTTTTTTTTACCTTTATCTACGACGGATTCGTGATTACGGCGCAATCTCCATTTATCTGGTTTCGACTTACGCCGTTTGCCTTGTACATACATTCACCACTGACCTTGGTTTGATGTGTTTTTATGCACCTTAAAACATGGTTCTGAGGACTGTAAGAGAGACAAGACCTTACGCTTCGTGATCTCATCTACCGAGAGCAAAACTTGAATTAATGCTTTTAAACACGCACTTTCACTGATCTTTCTCGATCTATTATATCTGCTCTGTTTTCGTATCCTAAAGTAAGTTAGCCGGAAGTTCTCTGTGATGATGGTTCTGTGCCGGGTGCAGGTTCGATTCCTGCCGAAGAACGCATATTTTCTATGAAATTTCTCGAACATTCAGGCGTGTAAATGTGATTAATACAGTTTAATTAAAGAATAGAGCATTTACTTAAATAAGTGTATCCATAATCTTTCATGGCGAAACCGCCCAACTCTAGAAATGATATATGGAGTCTTGCCGAGAGTATCAACCTTGGTTTCCAAAAAGACGTGTCCGGTTCGCCGGGCATTGTGCACGTGCCACAGATGAACTTGTGTCATCATTTGTACTCTGGAGGCACCCATCATCTGTCAATCGATCACGCAAGTTAACCTTTCCAGATAGGATAAAACAAGACACATTGATCCCTAAGGAAGATCTTTTAGGAGCTATGACGGATAGGGAATACTGGAGAGGTGTAGTGAGTTCAATCTCGGCTGAGGCCGCAGGATGATGAGGTATCCATAAAGAATAACATATAAACAGAAAATATATTAAAATAATTGTCTGTTTTAATCTTTTTTCTATCCTGGAGTAACAAGGTGCCTCATGGGTTTCATATAAGATTTTATTTTCAAGTCTTTTTTCACTGCTCTTTGGACTGTCATAGCTGAAACTTTTCTCCCACGTGCCAAACGTCTTATGAACTGAGTTGGATCTTTTCTAATTGATCTCTTTAGCTCTATGTTGAAATGATGATCCTGCTTCTAGTTGTGACTTCCTGATCCAGTTTTCCTGTCTACTGTTCCCTCTTTTCTTAAACCTATTCCCCATTCTCTTGATGGTTCTTGAATGGACTTTCAAGGGGAAAGCCAGATAGGAATTTTGGTCCCATTACTAACTAAAAGCCTGAATGATCTTTTTCCTCTCACCATCGTTCTGATGGGAAGACATAGTGGGGTTGAAGCAAAACGATTTTAACCTGCTTTCTTTCTAGCTGAATAACTCAAAGGGTTTTTCCGTTATTCTTACGACAAATGGTGTCAAAATGGCTAAACGCCTTATCTGGAAACCTGAAAAAAAAGAAACTCAATTAGTTTAGTGTTTTGTTAGATATTAAAGATTTTGTGGGATGGACAATTATCATTAAACACTACTTGGACAATTTTGCTGTTACACCACACACACACACACACACACACACACACACACACACACACACACACACACACACACACACACATATATATATATATATATATATATATATATATATATATATATATATATATATATATATATATATATATATATATATATATATATGTGTGTGTGTGTGTGAAAAGTGTATATAAATATAAATATATATATATATGTATAATTATTTATATATTATATGCATGGTACTTATTAGAAAGCGCTCAATATCAGAGATAGAGCTAATATTTGGTTGATAGATGTGAGTTTGTCACATCTATCCAAGCAAATATATATATATATATATATATATATATATATATATATATGAGAGAGACAGAGAGAGAGAGACAGAGAGAGAGAGAGACAGAGAGAGAGAGAGAGAGAGAGAGGGGAGTTCATATGCGATAGTGTAATGTGTAGTAATGTGAAAGTGGAGTTCAAATTCCGGTTTGTTACTTTTACTTACACTTACTATATGAATCTACCTCTTCTTTCCCCCCAAACTATGGTGAAATAGTAGGACAGACTTAACCTATCTAGAAAAAAGAACAACTCTGAATCTAATTTAGACGTATTATAACAGTTTATTTTTTTTTTTACGAATTTCTGGGTGGCTGTATAAAATTGGATTACATCGCCGACGATGACGAGAAGACTAACGTTTCACTTGAATGATCATAGTTCAATCTCAGAACATTTAAAGGAACACTCATGTCGACATTCACAGTTTAGACAGATATTAATGGAAAATACATCAGTGCTTCATCAAGATAATAATATGAAAAAACATAAAATTCTGGAAAACCTTTATGTAAGTGATTTGCAACAAAAAATATAGTCGACTAGGAGTATAGCAAATAAAATTCTTAAATGTTTGTAGCAGCAAAATACTACAATTAAAAGTCTTTTAAATTTAAAAAAATATTCTAAAAAATCACATAAGTTACCTCCCTTGCATAAAAGTAAAACATATTTTTAATTTAAGGTGTTAACGTATAACACATCCATAGATATGCAACCCCTGAGGATGGTTCCAAATGAGAGCTAAAGAAAGTACCGGGAAAAATAAAAATGATTTGAAAGAAAATTTTGGAATTTTTTTTTTAATCAATTTCTACTGAGATTAATTCTTGGGCTTGAAAGGATTAAAACTAAAATAAATAGACATAATGTTGTCTAAAGTATTTAATGAAACATGATTAAATGAAAATATGCTGCATAATATATATATATATATATATATATATATATATACATACATACATTCCAATCGAATCCATTACATTCACTTACGTGCTAATACCCTTGGAAAATGTATTAATCTTCTCTTCTCCCTCCAGCTATGGGTAAATAGAAATAGAAAGGATCCTGAAACAAAAAAAAACAAACAAACAAAAAAAAAGAGGAGGGGGCAAAATGAAAGAAAGAACGTAAGAAGGGGCGCTGAAAAGAATGGAAAGGGGTTACTTCGAAAAAAAATGAACGAACAAAAGATATATATATATATATATATATATATATATATATATGTATGTATACGCACATATATTGAAATCATTTTAGTAGTTGTTATACAAATTTAGATTTTTTAGATATAATTAGGAAATAATTTGATAAATATTCTAGAATTTATTTAGAAATATTTAGTATTTTTTAAAGATTTGTGAAAGAAAGGTTCTAGGAGTTTTTGCTTTATAAATATTTGAGTATTTTTTTTAAAGATTTATGGAAGAAAGTCTCTAGGAGAATAATATCAGTATTTGCTTTATAAATATTTGAATATTTTTTTTAAAGATTTATGAAAGAAAGTCTCTAGGAGAATAATATCAGTATTTGCTTTATAAATATTTGAATATTTTTTTTAAAGATTTATGAAAGAAAGTCTCTAGGAGAATAATATCAGTATTTGCTTTATAAATATTTGAATATTTTTAAAGATTTATGAAAGAAAGTCTCTAGGAGAATAATATCAGTATTTGCTTTATAAATATTTGAATATTTTTTTAAAGATTTATGAAAGAAAGTCTCTAGGAGAATAATATCAGTATTTGCTTTATAAATATTTGAATATTTTTTTTAAAGATTTATGAAAGAAAGTCTTTATAAATATTTGAATAATTTTTAAAGGAGAATAATATCAGTATTTGCTTTATAAATATTTGAATATTTTTTCTAAAGATTTATGAAAGAAAGTCTCTAGGAGAATAATATCAGTATTTGCTTTATAAATATTTGAATATTTTTATTAAAGATTTATGAAAGAAAGTCTCTAGGAGAATAATATCAGTATTTGCTTTATAAATATTTGAATATTTTATTAAAGATTTATGAAAGAAAGTCTCTAGGAGAATAATATCAGTATTTGCTTTATAAATATTTGAATATTTTATTAAAGATTTATGAAAGAAAGTCTCTAGGAGAATAATATCAGTATTTGCTTTATAAATATTTGAATATTTTTATTAAAGATTTATGAAAGAAAGTCTCTAGGAGAATAATATCAGTATTTGCTTTATAAATATCTGAATATTTTTTTATAAGATTTATGAAAGAAAGTCTCTAGGAGAATAATATCAGTATTTGCTTTATAAATATTTGAATATTTTTTAAAAGATTTATTAATATTATTTGCTTTATAAATATTTGAATATTTTTTAAAAGATTTAAAGAAAGTCTCTAGGAGAATAATATCAGTATTTGCTTTATAAATATTTGAATATTTTTTTTAAAGATTTATGAAAGAAAGTCTCTAGGAGAATAATATCAGTATTTGCTTTATAAATATTTGAATATTTTTTTTAAAGATTTATGAAAGAAAGTCTCTAGGAGAATAATATCAGTATTTGCTTTATAAATAATTGAATAATTTTTTTAAAGATTTATGAAAGAAAGTCTCTAGGAGAATAATATCAGTATTTGCTTTATAAATATTTGAATAATTTTTTTAAAGATTTATGAAAGAAAGTCTCTAGGAGAATAATATCAGTATTTGCTTTATAAATATTTGAATAATTTTTTAAAAGATTTATGAAAGAAAGTCTCTAGGAGAATAATATCAGTATTTGCTTTATAAATATTTGAATATTTTTTTAAAGATTTATGGAAGAAAGTCTCTAGGAGAATAATATCAGTATTTGCTTTATAAATATTTGAATTTTTTTTAAAAGATTTATGAAAAGAAAGTCTCTAGGAGAATAATATCAGTATTTGCTTTAAAAATAATTGAATAATTTTTTTAAAGATTTATGAAAGAAAGTCTCTAGGAGAATAATATCAGTATTTGCTTTATAAATATTTGAATATTTTTATTAAAGATTTATGAAAGAAAGTCTCTAGGAGAATAATATCAGTATTTGCTTTATAAATATTTGAGTATTTTTTTTAAAGATTTATGAAAGAAAGTCTCTAGGAGAATAATATCAGTATTTGCTTTATAAATATTTGAATATTTTTATTAAAGATTTATGAAAGAAAGTCTCTAGGAGAATAATATCAGTATTTGCTTTATAAATATTTGAATATTTTTATTAAAGATTTATGAAAGAAAGTCTCTAGGAGAATAATATCAGTATTTGCTTTATAAATATTTGAATATTTTTATTAAAGATTTATGAAAGAAAGTCTCTAGGAGAATAATATCAGTATTTGCTTTATAAATATTTGAATATTTTTTTAAAAGATTTATGGAAGAAAGTCTCTAGGAGAATAATATCAGTATTTGCTTTATAAATATTTGAATATTTTTTTTAAAGATTTATGAAAGGAAGTCTCTAGGAGAATAATATCAGTATTTGCTTTATAAATATTTGAATATTTTTTTAAAAGATTTATGGAAGAAAGTCTCTAGGAGAATAATATCAGTATTTTGAATTTTTTAAATATTTGAATATTTTTTTAAAGATTTATGAAAGAAAGTCTCTAGGAGAATAATATCAGTATTTGCTTTATAAATATTTGAATATTTTTTAAAGATTTATGAAAGAAAGTCTCTAGGAGAATAATATCAGTATTTGCTTTATAAATATTTGAATAATTTTTTTAAAGATTTATGAAAAGAAAGTTCTAGGAGAATAATATCAGTATTTGCTTTATAAATATTTGAATAATTTTTTTAAAGATTTATGAAAGAAAGTCTCTAGGAGAATAATATCAGTATTTGCTTTATAAATATTTGAATAATTTTTTTAAAGATTTATGAAAAGAAAGTCTCTAGGAGAATAATATCAGTATTTGCTTTATAAATATTTGAATATTTTTTTAAAGATTTATGAAAGAAAGTCTCTAAGAATAATATCAGTATTTGCTTTATAAATATTTGAATATTTTTTTAAAGATTTATGAAAGAAAGTCTCTAGGAGAATAATATCAGTATTTGCTTTATAAATATTTTAATATTTTTTTAAAGATTTATGAAAGAAAGTCTCTAGGAGAATAATATCAGTATTTGCTTTATAAATATTTTTAATAATTTTTAAAAGATTTATGAAAGAAAAGTCTCTAGGAGAATAATATCAGTATTTGCTTTATAAATATTTGAATAATTTTTTAAAGATTTATGAAAGAAAGTCTCTAGGAGAATAATATCAGTATTTGCTTTATAAATATTTGAATAATTTTTTTAAAGATTTATGAAAGAAAGTCTCTAGGAGAATAATATCAGTATTTGCTTTATAAATATTTGAATATTTTTTAAAAAGATTTATGAAAGAAAGTCTCTAGAAGAATAATATCAGTATTTGCTTTATAAATATTTGAATATTTTTTTAAAGATTTATGAAAGAAAGTCTCTAGGAGAATAATATCAGTATTTGCTTTATAAATATTTGAATATTTTTTTTAAAGATTTATGAAAGAAAGTCTCTAGGAGAATAATATCAGTATTTGCTTTATAAATATTTGAATATTTTTTTAAAGATTTATGAAAGAAAGTCTCTAGGAGAATAATATTTGAATATTTTTTTTAAAGATTTATAAATATTTCAGTATTTGCTTTATAAATTTTTTTTTAAAGATTTATGAAAGAAAGTCTCTAGAGAATAATATCAGTATTTGCTTTATAAATATTTGAATATTTTTTTAAAGATTTATGAAAGAAAGTCTCTAGGAGAATAATATCAGTATTTGCTTTATAAATATTTGAATATTTTTTTAAAGATTTATGAAAGAAAGTCTCTAGGAGAATAATATCAGTATTTGCTTTATAAATATTTGAATATTTTTTTAAAGATTTATGAAAGAAAAGTCTCTAGGAGAATAATATCAGTATTTGCTTTATAAATATTTGAATATTTTTATTAAAGATTTATGAAAGAAAGTCTCTAGGAGAATAATATCAGTATTTGCTTTATAAATATTTGAATATTTTTTTTAAAGATTTATGAAAGAAAGTCTCTAGGAGA